GGTCTGCTTTCTTCCAATTAAACCGTGTATGTTTATCAGGACGTTTATAATTAAATGTTACATTGGCTGATATCAGTATTGAACTTATCACTGGGACATGTTCTGACAAATTCAAATCATTTTCTTTCAAAATAGACACACTTTCTACTAAATCAAACATACTTGATTCGATAATTATGTGGTCAATAAGTGTTGATTTGCCAGTCTGAGGGAAAAAAGTACTATGAGGCCCAAGACACTTATCCTGTACGTTCACCGATATTAAATTACATCGGTTTAAAAACTTTTGAAAAATGTTCGATCTTTCATTTTCAATTATGCTACACCTAGTACCTTGAATTTTAACGTTCATGTCCCCTATGAACATCACCTTCCCCTTTTCGGAGTAAACAGAATACAGACCTTCTAGAAGCTCAACGTGTTCTATGAATAACTCTATAGTTCTCGAAGAAGCAGGCATGTATGCAACAAAGCAATACAGAATTAAGTCATCAGATATAGTTATCTCAGCCCCTACTATTCTCGGGCTGTCAACCTCGATCTCTTGGACTCTGAAGGAGGATTCTTTATACAGCAGAGCAACTCCTCCTCTAATGCTACATTTGTACTTAAAAGGGTCTAATTCAAAAACTGGTTTAGCTATACATCTGTACCCAATAGATTTAAATGTGTCCATAAATGACATATTAAATTCGCGTAACCAGTGCTCAGATATACCACAAACATTAATATCATATTTCTGAAGGCAGTCTATTAGATATGGTGTCCCTGACATGATGCCTTCAATGTTCCAACACATCGCATTAACAATTTCAGACATATCTGTGCTCACTCAAGAAAATTTCGCGTGGCTGCCATTCCCTCATTCGGATCCCTTCGGGCCAGAACGAATCATCGCTGATAATATCTGCGTCCTCCGCTACTATGTTCAATTGCGCTGATGCCGTGTTCTTCCATCGTTTCTCAAAATACCTTAACAAAGTAACGCGCACATTAGCTTCCTCAAGATAGCTTCGCATGGCAGCTTCTGAGGATATTTGTCGGTTTATTCCATGTACGTAGAATCGCCTGATTCTCCTTCTTTGTTGCTGCTGGAATCCCACAAATCGCTTTGCCATCGGATTACACACAGATGTTGGGAAATGGACCTTTATCGGGTGTTGAGTTGTCGTTTCAGCTGATATATAAGATGGATTCTCAGTATCCACGGAACGCTTCTCATTTAGAGACTCCGATTGTAACATGTCGCTCCAAGTTTTTTGTCGCGTGTCGTTTCCTTGGCAGAGTCCTCTAGCGTTCCGATCGGTTTTAGGATCTAACGTGTCTGTGAAATAATTCGCTGTTTTTGTGCTTTCCAAGTTATCCACCTGGTTTATCTGATTGTTCGATGATGCACTCAACACACTGAATCTGTTAAACGTCTTTACGGCTGGTTCTGTCTGACTCTCCTCGATAAGATCCACACTCCTGTTGGTCATGTTGTGTTCACTCTTTCTTTGTATGTCCTTCCTTAATTTGTCAACTTGTTTCTTTATACCAACTACCGATGCTGCACATGTCTTTAATGATTCCCTTGTCTCACTCAGGTCTGATTCGTAACATTTTGTGTAGTTAGTCACGCGGTCTGATACCAGTTTCATTGTCTTTTTAACACTTTCAACACCATTCAATTGTTCGTTATCGTATCTTTTTGCCATGTTCTTAAAGTCTGTTGTGGCTTCTACCGTCTCCTTAATATCCATTTTCATCTTTACAATCTGTTTCATCGTTTGTTCCACTTGTCTTTTGTTTTCACGTAGTTCATCCTCAATACATTTGATCGTTGAACAGCTTTTCTTTCGGATCCTCCCATTTTCAGTTTTCAAGGAATTTATTTCCGTCCTATCCTCGGTCTGCTTTAGTTTCAGTTCGCTGACAGTTTCTTGCAATGCTTCATAGGATTGCTGTGCTTTTTCACGTGAAATCTTGATCTCTGCTACCTCCGTTTGCAGTTGCTTCAAGTCTTCTTTATACTTTAACGCCCTGTTTTTAGCATTTTCTTTCTCTTTCATTAAACCATCGATTCTTGATGTAAGTGTTTCTATTTTCTCGTTGTGGTCACTTTTCACAAAGTACATATCGCGTTTCAAGACTGCTATGGTTTCCTGTAGCACACTAAATCCTGCCAATTCGCTAGCACCGCGATTTCTATTACTGTAAGAAAGTGATTGAGTCCGCTTTTGCTTTGTAGGCACGACATCGGACAAGTCCTCCACGAATTCACCCTCACACGCACGTACCAGCACAAAACAGTCTCTTGCTAACTTTGCCTGTAATGAAGGAGCGTTTGGTGCCCTTGTCTCCTTACGTTTCCTAAGGTATCCCTCCCTGTATGGAAAGTCATCGAGAGTGCAAGCCTTAGCAAATAATGCATCGCGTAACATTTCAATATCAGCAACGTTATCCCGTGTCAGCTGTCGGATTTCGTCAATAAGTATTGTTTTAGGGCGATCCTTTACCCTTTCTACCTGTTCCATATAGGTCGCCGTAGAGTGTGTAGTTCTACCCGCCGCGGTTGACTGGTCACCATCGTAAACACTCTCAGTCGATATCTGATTATCAATTGGTACCGAGTCTCCGAGTATATAGCTTTCGTCAAATTCGGCATGGTCATCACGACAGTTTATTTGACCGTTTTGCCAAGGAGATTGCATGTAATCTTGGTTGATCGGTAACAAGTCCGTATATGTAGGCGTAAGTCCATTGCAATCTGCGTCCTCGTTACAATCCGACATGGCTGATTGTAAGGGTAATCACAAGTGCAATCCTGGACCCACAGTTTGAAATAATATCAAAGCACACATTTAATAACACATAATGTCGTCGATGTTGAATGAAACGTGTAATATTCAAGTAAAGTTTTATTTCAACAACTTCCAACTTCAATAACGTAAACTGTTTTCATTGAGAATTAGGGACTAAGCTGGCCATCATACAGTGGTAAGTCAATAGAGCGTGACGGACGATTGCCTATACAGGTAGCCCAACCGAGTGATGAATGCTCACCTGTGTACGTACGCGTACGTGACAATATAACATCATATATACATATGCACAGTGGAACATAATTGTCAATTGTTCGAATATACAACAATAGATTGTCCATTTGATAGTATATCTACAATACAGGTACTACTATATACACGCATACCGTTCCTTTAGACTTGAGGACGTCTGGAACCATAACAAATCGAGCATTGTATACGGCTACCGCTTACCGATCCTCTCGCATTGACGCCGTGATGCCTATATTTTAGTTTAAAAACACACCGATGAAAACAAAATTGAACAACATGCCAATGGCCACGTTGGCTCGCACGTTTTGACGAGTTCGTTTTTGTTTGTGCGATACTAAGTCAGTTGATTAGCGTTTACAGACGCAATATCATTTTTGAGAGAGAAAAAAATGTGTTCATGGACATCGGTCGTTGCCTTCAGTCTACCACGGGATGATATTACAAAACTCGGGTAACATGGTGAACTAGCTAATAGGATAATGTAGCTCGAAACTCATTATCTGAACTCAATTTCTAATAATTACTGCAGGATGATTGACACTCTTGATTTAACAGAACCATGAAAGTTGCTACATGTACAAGCTCTCTAGCGAATGCACGCGCGAGACTAAAAATATCAAACAAAAACGCTGGAAATGACCGATAAAGGAAAAATATTCATAAAAAAAACTTTGGAAAATAAGCACAGTAGGGATTCCAAGCAACATAATGGATTTTGACAACCCCTTATAATAGTCATAACAACTTATTCGTACATCTGTACGTCCTTTCGGTTATGATTGTTTAAATCTTGGAAGTTTTTCTGTAACCAAGCTCAATATATTTAGGTGGCGTAATAGAGCCAACAACCGCTTATCAAACAACAAACTGTAACCGTCGGCTTTTTCTTTTGAAGGAAAGTGCGAACGCGTTCGGTTCCCAATTGATATTCCACGTGAAGCTACGAACTTACGAACTACCTTCCGTTAAACGATCAACGCGTTGGTTAAATAACGATCAGTACATGTACCGGTGGTTAAATAACACTCCGTTATTATATTTTATTGAATTAATTAGTTCTACTTTTTAAGTATTGTCGTGTTTGCCTTTTTGTTATGAATCGCTATATGCTGTTGTACTGTGCTATGTCTTGTCCGGTTTGGTTATTGTTGACGGGAATGCAACGGGAGTTACCTCCCCTCGTTCACCGCGGTATTCAAAGCGTCGTTTACTTCCATATTTCTTAATAACTGAATGCGTCTTTGAAATGTCTGTCCAAGATCTCGGCTTGCTCCAAGTCCATAACATGTTTTTTCTTTACAACTTAATTATATATGCTTTTAGAATTCTTGGCACTAGTGTCAGAGAATTCTCTTTCAGTTTTATTTCCTGTCTAACTGAATTCGTTTTTATTTTACCCAATACCAAATATTCAAATGAATCCCCCATAAAACGACTTGACAATTAGAGGCTGTTATGATTACCAATCAATTAATTCCTATTTTGTAATGTTTTGTCAGTTGTGACGTCAAAACATTGACCCCCGGCGAAGTTTAACCAGACCTAGTGGTTAGGTCCTATTGTCCGCATTGTCCAGTTAATCTCGCGATCGCTTACATGACATTGAGTCAAAGTCGGCAAATTGTACTACCTTTTGTATGTCTGATTCAAGCATTGTTAGTTTAAAGCGATGTCTTACTCAAAATGGGTTTACGCATTGATTAAACAGTTATACTTTGATTGTTTAGGATGATGAAAGCTGACAGCAACAGAATTACTTGTAATAATTTGGACTGAAATACGTTGATAGTGGTTATATACACATTGTCTGAATCTAAAAATGATTAATACTTTGACATTCACGTAAGCTAACTAGCATTTGAATGTTTAGCTACATGTACCGAGTGGACAATGGTCAGTTACGGAGTGGACAATGGTCAGCGTGACACAGTTGTTTGCATATGTACCCACGTATAATGCATGCATCATTGGACACACCGTAAACACAAACAATTAAGTTATTCCACAAAGTCGGAGGCTCGCAATACAAACAGGTATGTTTATTTCTTTTTCTTATTATGTGTAACTTTTCATCAATGTTTCAAACACACCGTATCTTTATTAATTATAATCGTGTCGTTCCAGTCATAATTTACAAAGTAGCTGTGATGTGTGTTCCCTGTAGTTCTGCCAAAAACTCTAAATACACGACACCTCTACAATCTAGGGGAACGCTCTAACAATTAAGCTACCAGCTGGTTGCCGGCGAACGACCCATCCACACAATGCATGTACCTGATTCTAGTACCAAAGGTACAGGGTACTAGAATCAGGTACACCCACAATGCTCGCAGTCCTCGCCCCAGAAGACATTACTATTTACAACGAAAGGTTCGGGTATTCCTTTACCAGGCATACACCAAGTGCTTGAAACAGGGGTTGGTTACAGATACGACTGAAGTTAAAAGGAATGGGAAAATGCACGGCCAGACCCAGATTTAAACCCGGGAACTCTAGAAGGACACTCTATTAATTGAGCTACCTGGTCACCGACGATCAACCCAGTTCAGCTCCGCTTTACTGTACACATACAAAAGTACAGCGCAGAGGGACAGGAATCCGCGAGAGCTATGCATTAAATTAAAATGATATCCATGTGTATATAATGTTAATACAGTATATACCACCCTGGTAAAATATATCAAATTATCACCATTTGTATATGATATCACGTGACGAGACTTTATGTATCGCCCTGGTAAAATACATTAAATCAACACCATTTGTATATGATATCACGTGACGAGACTTTATGAATCGCCCTGGTAAAATACATTAAATCAACACCATTTGTATATGATAACACGTGACGAGACTTTATGTATTACCCTGGTAAAATACATCAAAGTATCACCATTTGTATATGATATCACGTGACGAGACTTTATGTATCTCCCTGGTAAAATACATCAAATCAACACCATTTGTATATGATATCAAGTGACGAGACTTTATGTATTATCCTGGTAAAATACATCAAAGTATCACCATTTGTATATATGATATCACGTGCCGAGACTGTCTGTATCGCCCTGGTAAAATACATTAAATAAACACCATTTGTATATATGATATCAAGTAACGAGACAGAATGTATCGCCCTAGTAAAATACATTAAATCAACACCAGTTGTATATATGATATCACGTGACGAGACTTTATGTATCTCCCTGGTAAAATACATCAAATCAACACCATTTGTATATGATAACACGTGACGAGACTTTATGTATTATCCTGGTAAAATACATCAAAGTATCACCATTTGTATATATGATATCACGTAACGAGACAGAATGTATCGCCCGGGTAAAATACATTAAATCACCACCATTTGTATATGATATCACGTGACGAGACTTTATGTATCGCCCTGGTAAAATACATTAAATCAACATCATTTGTATAAGATATCACGTAACGAGACAGAATGTATCGCCCTAGTAAAATACATTAAATCAACACCATTTGTATAAGATATCACGTGACGAGGCTTTTTGTATCGCCCTGGTAAAATACATTAAATCACCGCCATTTGTATATGATATCACGTGACGAGACAGTATGTATCGCCCTGGTAAAATACATCAAAGTATCACCATTTGTATATATAATATCACGTGACGAGACAGAATGTATCGCCCTGGTAAAATACATTAAATCACCGCCATTTGTACATGATATCACGTGACGAGACTTTATGTATTATCCTGGTAAAATACATCAAATTATCACCATTTGTATAATATGATATAAAGTGACAAGACAGTATGTATCATCCTGGTAAAATACATCAAAGTATCACCATTTGTATATATGATATCACGTGACGAGACAGAATTTATCGCCTTGGTAAAATACTTTAAATCACCACCATTTGTATATGATATTTTGTGACGAGACTGTATGTATCGCCCTGGTAAAATACATCAAAGTATCACCATTTGTATATATGATATCACGTGACGAGACTTTATGTATTGCCCTGGTAAAATACATCAAAGTATCACCATTTGTATATGATATCACGTAACGAGAGAGAATGTATCGCCCTGGTAAAATACATTAAATCAACACCATTGGTATAAGATATCACGTGACGAGGCTTTATGTATCGCCCTGGTAAAATACATTAAATCACCGCCATTTGTATATGATATCACGTGACGAGACTTTATGTATTATCCTGGTAAAATACATCAAAGTATCACCATTTGTATATATGATATCACGTGACGAGACAGAATGTATCGCCCTGGTAAAATACATTGAATCACCACCATTTGTATATGATATCACGTGACGAGACAGAATATATCGCCCGGGTAAAATACATCAAATTATCACTATTTGTATATATGATATCAAGTGACAAGACAGTATGTATCACCCTGGTAAAATACATCAAATTATCACCATTTGTATAATATGGTATCACGTGACGAGACAGTATGTATCACTCTGGTGAAATATATCAAATGACCGCCATTTGTATAATATGATATCACGTGACGAGACAGTATGTATCACCCTGGTGAAATACATCAAATTACCGTCATTTGTATAATATGATATCACGTGACGAGACAGTATGTACGCCCTGGTAAAATACATCGAAAGATAAAATACAATTAATACAATTAGCATATACATTAATCAAATCAATTTTGATAAATTCGCAGGAGCTGCCTTATCAGGCGCTAACTACTAGTCCTATGCCACCTGGCTAAAATCTCCCCTCTGTGTATGCCTGCGTGTGTGCTGGAGACGTAATCGACCGATCCGCCCATGTCAGATCATGTGACAATAAAATTATATACTAGTAATTAAGAGATCCGCACTTATTTCCCGACATATAAGTATTTTATATAAACTATATACTAGTGACTAACAGATTCTGTACATTTTCACTTACAGTAAGCATGGACCCGTGTGTAAACATTGTCCTGCTGAGTTCCTACCTGGACTTGTACTGTCTCAACACAAACGACCTGAATGTTCCCGGATTCGACATCGACCATCAATGCAGGTAGATATACAAATATCTTTAGGGCTAAAATTATTCTTGTAATCAATTCATGTACTGTCATTTCATAAAACTATGTACTGTCATTTCATAAAACTATGTACTGTCATGTCATAAAACTATATTCTGTCATGTCATATAACTATATTCTGTCATGTCATATAACTAAGTACTGTCATGTCATATAACTAAGTACTGTCATGTTATATAACTATGTACTGTCATGTCGTATAACTATGTACTGTCATGTCGTATAACTATGTACTGTCATGTCATAGAACTATGTACTGACATGTCACAAGACTATGAACTGACCTAATACTTTTGTTCTTGGTATATTGACCTTCAATACAACAGATAGGGTATACTCTTGAACATTAACATGGCAATATCACTAGGGCTATTACCTTAAAATACGCTACTGAGTAGGTTTTGACCTTGACCCCTTTCGCCTGATTGTCCATGAACATATATGCCGCTGACATAAATCGAAATGTTGGTGTTGTATTGGTCTTCCTCCTTATGTTTGCAGAGACATTCCAAACAATCAAGCAAATCCACGTACACACGTGGTGTAACCATACCTTAACATCTACTGTTAATATCACTAGGGTAATGACCTTGAATGGCGGTATCAATTTGGTAATTAGGGTCATGACCTTGAATGATGGTATCAATTAGGTCGATAGGGTCGTGATCTTGAATGACGGTATCAGTTATTTCAGTTGGTCATGACCTCAATTGACGGTATAAAATGCATAAGTAGGGTCATGACCCTGAATGGCTGTATCAATTAGGTCAGTAGGGTCATGGCCTTGAATGGCGGTATCGATAAGGTCAGTAGGGTCATGACCTTGGATGGCGGTATCAATAAGGTCAGGAGGGTCATGACCCTGAATGACGGTATAAATTAGGTCAGTAGGGTCATGATCTTGAATGACGATATTAGTTAAGTCAGTAGGGTCATGACCTTGAATGACGATATTAGTTAAGTCAGTAGGGTCATGACCTTGAATGACAGTATCAAATATGGCATGACCACAGTAACCGGTTGCAGATTTGTTATGACGTTTGATGCTGTTGTTGCCTGGGTGATGACATGGAAAACTATAAATAAGAGGAGCATGACCTTGAAAATCCTAAATAAAAGAATTGTTATCTTCCAGGGTAATCTACGAAGCTTTCATATGCGCGGCTGACTTTATCAAGTATGAATATATGGAGGACTGTTACGAGAGGATAGACAACTCGATCGAGCTCTTTCGGGAAGACTTCAGACAAGGACCACATAGCATCGATATTAACCTTTGTGACTTCTCAGGTAAGTTCTATACAACACCGATATTGATCTTTGTGACTTCTCGGGTAAGTTCTATACAACATCAATATATACCTTTGTGACTTCTCGGGTAAGTTCTATACAACACCGATATTAACCTTTGTGACTTCTCAGGTAAGTTCTATACAACACCGATAGTAACCTTTGTGACTATTCGGGTAAGTTCTATAGAACACCGATATTGACCTTTGTGAATCATCGATATTGACCTTTGTGACTTCACGGGTAAGTTCTACACAACACCGATATTGTCTTTTGTGACTTCTCGGGTAAGTTCTATCCAACACCGATATTGCTCTTTGTGACTTCTCGGGTAAGTTCTTCACAACACCGATATTGTCTTTTGTGACTTCTCGGGTAAGTTCTATACCACACCGATATTAACCTTTGTGACTATTCGGGTAAGTTCTATAGAACACCGATATTGACCTTTGTGACTTTTCGGGTAAGTTATATACAACACCGATATTGACCTTTGTTACTTCTCGGGTAAGTTCTATACATCACCGATATTAACCTTTGTGACTTCTCGGGGAAGTTCTATACAACACCGATATTAACCTTTGTGACTTCTCGGGTAAGCTCTATACATCATCGATATTGACCTTTGTGACTTCTCGGGTAAGCTCTTCACAACACCGATATTGTCTTTTGTGACTTCTCGGGTAAGTTCTACACAACATCGATATTGACCTTTGTGACTTCACGGGTAAGTTCTATACAACACTGATATTGACCTTTGTGACTTCTCGGGTAATTTCTATACAACATCGATATTAACCTTTGTGACTTCACGGGTAAGTTCTATACAACATCGATATCAACCTTTGCGACTTCTCGGGTAAGTTCTATACAACACCGATATTAACCTTTGTGACTTCACGGGTAAGTTCTATACAACATCGATATCAACCTTTGCGACTTCTCGGGTAAGTTCTATACAACACCGATATTTACCTTTGTGACTTCTCGGGTAAGTTCTACAAAACACCGATATTAACCTTTGTGACTTCTCGGGTAAGTTCTACATAACACCGATATTAACCTTTGCGACTTCTCGGGTAAGTTCTATACAACACCGATATTGACCTTTGTGACTTCTCGGGTAAGTTCTACACAACACTGATATTGTCTTTTGTGACTTCTCGGGTAAGTTCTATACAACATCGATATTGACCTTTGTGACTTCACTGGTAATTTCTATACAACACCGATATTAACCTTTGTGACTTTTCGGGTAAGTTCTATACAACACCGATATTATCCTTTGTGACTTCACGGGTAAGTTCTATACAACACCGATATTAACCTTTGTGACTTTTCTGGTAAGTTCTATACAACACCGATATTAACGTTTGTGACTTCACGGGTAAGTTCTATACAACACCGATATTGACCTTTGTGACTTCACGGGTAAGTTCTATACAACACCGATATTTACCTTTGTGACTTCTCGGGTAAGTTCTTTACAACACCGATATTGACCTTTGTGACTTCACGGGTAAGTTCTATACAACATCGATATTAACCTTTGCGACTTCTCGGGTAAGTTCTATACAACACCGATATTAACCTTTGTGACTTCACGGGTAAGTTCTATACAACACCGATATTGACCTTTGTGACTTCACGGGTAAGTTCTATACAGCACCGATATTGATCTTTGTGATTTCTCGGGTAAGTTCTACACAACACCGATATTGTCTTTTGTGACTTCTCGGGTAAGTTCTATACAATACCGATATTGACCTTTGTGACTTCTCGGGTAAGTTTTATACAACACCGATATTAACCTTTGTAACTTCTCGGGTAAGTTCTATACAACACCGATATTAACCTTTGTGACTTCTGGGGTAAGTTCTTTACAACATCAATATTGACCTTTTTGACTTCTCAGGTAAGTTCTATACAACACCGATGTTAACCTTTGTGACTTCTCGGGTAAGTTCTATACAACACCGATATTAACATTTGTGACTTCTCGGGTAAGTTCTATACAACTCCGATATTAACCTTTGTGACTTCTGGGGTAAGTTCTTTACAACATCAATATTGACCTTTTTGACTTTTCAGGTAAGTTCTATACAACACCGATATTAACCTTTGTGACTTCTCGGGTAAGTTCTACACAACACCGATATTGACCTTTGTGACTTCACGGGTAAGTTCTATACAACACCGATATTAACATTTGTGACTTCTCGGGTAAGTTCTATACAACACCGATATTGACCTTTGTGACTTCTCAGATAAGTTCTATACAACACCGATATTGACCTTTGTGACTTCTCGGGTAAGTTTTATACAACACCGATATTAACATTTGTGACTTCTCGGGTAAGTTCTACACAACACCGATATTTACCTTTTTGACTTCACGGGTAAGTCCTATACATCATCGATCTTGACCTTTGTGATTTCTCGGGTAAGTTCCACACAACACCGATATTTACATTTGTGACTTCTCGGGTAAGTTCTACACAACACCGATATTTACCTCTGTGACTTCACGGGTAAGTTCTATACATCATCGATATTGACCTTTGTGATTTCACGGGTAAGTTCTATACAACACCGATATTGACCTTTGTGACTTCTCGGGTAAGTTCTACACAACACCGATATTTACATTTGTGACTTCTCGGGTAAGTTCTATACCACACCGATATTAACCTTTGTGACTTCTCGGGTAAGTTCTACACAACACCGATATTTACCTTTGTGACTTCACGGGTAAATTTTATACAACATCGATATTGACCTTTGTGACTGTTCGGGTTAGTTCTATACAACATCGATATTGACCTTTGTGACTTCACGGGTAAGTTCTACACAACACCGATATTGACCTTTGTGACTTCTCGGTTAAGTTCTATACATCATCGATATTGACCTTTGTGACTTCTCGGGTAAGTTTTATACAACACCGATATTGACCTTTTTGACTTCTCGGGTAAGTTCTAAACAACACCGATATTGACCTTTGTGACTTCACCGGTAAGTTCTACACAACACCGATATTGACCATTGTGACTTCTCGGGTAAGTTCTACATAACACCGATATTAACCTTTGCGACTTCTCGGGTAAGTTCTATACAATCTACACAACACCGATATTGACCATTGTGACTTCTCGGGTAAGTTCTATACAATCTACACAACACCGATATTGACCATTGTGACTTCTCGGGTAAGTTCTACGCAACACCGATATTTACCTTTGTGACTTCTCGGGAAAGTTCTATACAACACCGATATTGTCTTTTGTGACTTCTCGGGTAAGTTCTACGCAACACCGATATTTACCTTTGTGACTTCTCGGGTAAGTTATATACATCATCGATATTGACCTTTGTGACTTCTCGTGTAAGTTCTACATAACACCGATATTAACCTTTGCGACTTCTCGGGTAAGTTCTATACCACACCGATATTAACCTTTGTGACTTCTCGGGTAAGCTCTATACAACACTGATATTAACCTTTGTGACTTCTCGGGGAAGTTCTACACAACACCGATATTGACCATTGTGACTTCTCGGGTAAGTTCTACCCAACACCGATATTTACATTTGTGACTTCTCGGGTAAGTTCTTTACCACACCGATATTAACCTTTGTGACTTCTCGGGGAAGTTCTACACAACACCGATATTGACCATTGTGACTTCTCGGGTAAGTTCTACATAACACCGATATTAACCTTTGCGACTTCTCGGGTAAGTTCTATACAATCTACACAACACCGATATTGACCATTGTGACTTCTCGGGTAAGTTCTACGCAACACCGATATTTACCTTTGTGACTTAATGGGTAAGTTTTATACAACATCGATATTGACCTTTGTGACTTCATGGGTAAGTTTTATACATCATCGATATTGACCTTTGTGACTGTTCGGATAAGGTCTATACAACATCGATATTGACCATTTTGACTTCTCAGGTAAGTTCTAAACAACACCGATATTGTCTTTTTTGACTTCTCGGGTAAGTTCTAAACAACACCGATATTGACCTTTGTGATTTCTCGGGTAAGTTCTACACAACAACGATATTTACCTTTGTGACTTCACGGGTAAATTTTATACAACATCGATATTGACCTTTGTGACTTCAAGGGTAAGTTCTACACAACACCGACATTTACCTTTGTGACTTCATGGGTAAGTTTTATACATCATCGATATTGACCTTTGTGATTTCACAAGTAAGTTCTATACAACACCAATATTGACCTTTTTGACTTCTCGGGTAAGTTCTATACAATCTACACAACACCGATATTGACCATTGTGACTTCTCGGGTAAGTTCTATACAATCTACACAACACCGATATTGACCATTGTGACTTCTCGGGTAAGTTCTACATAACACCGATATTAACCTTTGCGACTTCTCGGGTAAGTTCTATACCACACCGATATTAACCTTTGTGCCTTCTCGGGTAAGTTCTACACAACACCGATATTTACCTTTGTGACTTCATGGGTAAGTTTTATACAACATCGATATTGACCTTTGTGACTGTTCGGATAAGTTCTATACAACATCGATATTGACCTTTGTGATTTCACGAGTAAGTTCTATACAACACCAATATTGACCTTTTTGACTTCTCGGGTAAGTTCTATACAACACCGATATTGACCTTTGTGACTTCTCGGGTACGTTCTACACAACACCGATATTAACCTTTGTGACTTTTCGGGTAGGTTCTATACAACACCGATATTGACTTTTGTGACTTCTCGGTAAGTTCTATACAACATCGATATTGACCTTTTTGACTTCTCAGGTAAGTTCTAAACAACACCGATATTGTCTTTTTTGACTTCTCGGGTAAGTTCTAAACAACACCGATATTGTCTTTTTTGACTTCTCGGGTAAGTTCTATACAACACTGATATTGACCTTTGTGACTTTTCGGGTAAGTTCTATACAACATCGATATTGACCTTTGTGACTTCACTGGTAAGTTCTATACAACACCGATATTGACCTTTGTGACTTCTCGGGTAAGATCTACACAACACCGATATTAACCTTTGTGACTTTTCGGGTAAGTTCTATACAACACTGATATTGACCTTTGTGACTTCTCGGTAAGTTCTATACAACATCGATATTGACCATTTTGTCTTCTCAGGTAAGTTCTAAACAACACCGATATTGTCTTTTGTGACTTCTCGGGTAAGTTCTATACAACACCGATATTGACCTTTGTGACTTCTCGGGTAAGTTCTATACAACACCGATATTAACCTTTGTGACTTCACTGGTAAGTTCTATTCAACACCGATATTGACCTTTGTGACTTCTCGGGTAAGTTCTACACAACACCGATATTGTCTTTTGTGACTCCTCGGGTAAGTTCTATAGAACACCGATATTTACCTTTGTGACTTCTCGGGTAAGTTCTATACAACATCGATATTATCCTTTGTGACTTATCGGGTAAGTCCTATACAACATCGATATTGACCTTTGTGACTTCCCGGGTAAGTTCTACACAACACCGATATTGACCTTTGTGACTTCTCGGGTAAGCTCTATACAACATCGATATTGACCTTTGTGTCTTCTCGGGCAAGTTCTATACAACACCGAAATTAACCATTGTGACTTTTCGGGTAAGTTCAACATACACTGTAACACCGATATTGACCTTTGTGAATTCTCGTGTAAGTTCTACATAACACCGAGGTTAACCTTTGCGACTTCTCGGGTAAGTTCTATACAACATCGATATTGACCTTTGTGTCTTCTCGGGTAAGTTCTATACAACACCGAAATTAACCTTTGTGACTTTTCGGGTAAGTTCAACATACACTGTAACACCGATATTGACCTTTGTGACCTCTCGGGTAAGTTCTACGCAACACCGATATTGTCTTTTGTGAATTCTCAGGCAAGTTCTACACAACACCGATATTAACGTTTGTGACTTATCAGGCAAATCTGTATCCACTTATAAATTTACCTTCTTGACTTCTTGGTCAATAAGGTTAACACATCACCGAAATCGACCTTTTTATTGTGTTTATTCGTTTTTGAAATGTAAAATTTTGAGCATCCCCCTTTTTAAAAAAATTTCCGCTGTTCGACATTACACACAATTTCGTATGTCATTGTTTCACCTGAGTATCCGAAGCGTGAACAAAGAACAAATATTACAGGTAAATCCATTTACACCAATGTACCAGAAACCCCACAGATTATTGAAGATGAAAAATGGATTTAAACCACTTTTACATCGATATGTTCATTATTCAGTTTCTCTTTTTGTGCGTTGGTTAACTCAGCTTGGACTTAATTCTCGGTTACGATGATTAACAACAACATTATAAATACGCGAGTTATCTCTCTTTGCTTACAACTGCAGCATTCCAGTTGCTGAACAAGCTTTATGTCGGGACGATGATTAATTAGTATTTAATCCACTCAAAGTGGCCTTTACTCTCAGACGTTGATCTACGCGTATCACCTTATTGTTTCCCCCATACTTGATTTTTACGTAATCTTGTGATGTCCTCGCGCACGTAACTGTTACCGACACAGTGTAACATACCGTAAAATATCACAGGTTCGTGCTGCCAGTGATCAACGTAGGGTTTAATTAGTTTTAATTAATTTCCTTCTATAACTTACTTATGCACTTACAGATATAGCTGAGAGCGGGGATGGGAACGATGAAGAGTATTTCTCCTCAACGCCTCCGAACAATAGTACAAACGGCTCAACGGCACCTACATATCCGCCAAGTACGAGAAGGCCACTCACGACCAGGAAACCAACAACTGCAACTACCAAAATTTCACGCACGACCAGGAAACCAACAACTACAACTACTGAAAAACCTAGCACGACCAGGAAACCAACAACTGCAACTACTAAAAAACCTAGCACGACCAGGAAACCAACAACTACAACTACTAAAAAACCTAGCACGACCAGGAAACCATCAACTGCATCTACCAAAATTTCACGCACGACCAGAAAACCAACAACTGCAACTACCAAAACTCCACGCACGACCAGGAAACCAACACCTGCAACTACTGAAAGAGTAACAAAGAATAGCTCCACATCAACACCCCATCCACAAGTTAGTGTCACCCCGACACAATCTCCGTCTTCCACAACTTCTGTGAATGATGACGTCACTACAGTCCAGCCTACGATTGGCGGACTTGGTGTTGGGCCCGGAGTGATTGTGGGG